GATGGTGTTGACGGCTCTGGGGACTGACTTCCTGGGATTCCGAGCTTCTGCGGCTGTCAGGCCAATGAATTCAGTGCCGGCCATGGAGAAAATGCAGTTGTGCAGGCCGTTGAGGAATCCTTTGAATCCGTTGATGAAGGGTGTTTCCCGCCAGTACCGGAAGCCGATAGTGGTATGGTTGGGCGCACCCCCAGCGGTGATCACAATGAACATGATGATGACCACAAAAATCCAGAAGAATTTGATGATGGACGCGACAAATTCCACCTCGCCAAAGATCTTGACATGGAATATGTTGACGAAGAGAATAATGGCCAGGAAAATAGTCACCCACACCGAGACATGCAGGGAGTCGGTCCAGTATCGGATCACATTACACGCACCTTGGATCTCAGCCGCCAGCACGAGGGTGGACGACATCCAGTATGCCCAGCCCAGGGCGAAGGCGGGAGCTTTGTCGAGGAATTTTTCTGTCCACCGTGGAAAGGCTGAAGGGATCGGGTAGTTGCAGGCCATCTCCCCGACAGCCTGTGCAACGGCCCAGGAGATGAGTCCGGCCAAGAGGAAGCCCAACACGTTACTCACGGGGCCACCTTTCGCCAGCGTGGCACCCGATCCGAGCCAGAGCCCAAGGCCGATTGAGGAGCCGAGTGAGAAGAAGATGAGATGGCGAGACTGTAAGCTTTTCGCAAGGCCTGGATCTGGGCGAGACAATGGGGTCGTCTCTCCCGCGGCAGGAGTGCTCCCTTCGGTGCTTGAACCATCATTGACGACGGAAACAGCCTCCTTCTTGGTATCCATTGTGAAAAAGAGTAGCAATTTTGGATAGTTTGAATGAGGAAAGAGGACAGAGCTTGGGAGGTTGAGAGGTTGAGAGGCCTGATGGAACACTCGCAGCCCGTTGGGTGCCTTTCACGTTTCGTGGAGGGGATCGCAGCCGTTTATAGACCACTCCCCGACATATACACATGTGCAAAGTTCCTCGGTTCTTATCGAGAGGCTTTGATTTCCCTGCCTCGAATCTGATGGACCTTCTGAGCTTCTCCCTTCCAGACACAGGGTAGAGTTCTTGTCCTGTTAGTTGAGCCGTCTATCGAGTCTCGGCCATGCTCTATCTGTGCGTGAATTGGATATGCTGCATCAATATCATAGAGGCGACTGGTTGGGGCGTTACACACAAGGGGACAAGGATAGAGAAGCCTTGACCAGGCCGTATTCACCATGGTTGGATATCGGGAAAGCATGATAAGTGCAGCGAAAAACGAGCCTACGGAAGATAGCAAAGAGCGGAAAGACCCACCCTGAGGCCACGAGATACTCCGTACTCGGTACATACAACTCGGTCCCTCGCCGGTGGATCTGCCAAGCTTTGCCAAGCTCCGCTCCAGGTTGATAATAAAGGGTTTCGGACGTTAAGGCTTGGCCCTTTTCAATATCATTGCTATCACCGATATATCTCTACCAGTACAGAAAGAAGTCCGAAGGATATGCTCCGAGATACCCACAGCCACGTCTCAAGGTCCCTCTGGCCCGAAGCAGCCAGCTTGCCCCGGAGTTCAATATCTGTTATGAACCTTGATTCGGACCAGCAGAATATCGATGTTGTCAAAAGGTTGCGGCTCTCGGCCCCGACTTATCTCCCAAGCCGACTGCACTCCTCTCGGACACAGAGAATGAGCAAGGTGAGGTTGCTATAGGGCGCGTATACGCGTGGGCGACGCATCACAACCCCTTATATCTCATTGAGAGCTTGCTTCTTGTCTATGACAGTAAAGGTCTTTCTGGTGAGTTCCAACCGGCGAGAAGGCACAATTTCCCTACAGAGCAAACATGGGTTCAATCAGCGATACTCCAGTGAAAACCCTTCACCCACTTGACCCCATCACGGCGGAAGAGATTACAGAAACCGCACAGCTCATCAGATCCAAGTATGCCGAGGGTGCGGTTCATTTCAAAGCCATCTCGCTCTTGAATCCCATCAAGAAGACACTGCTACCCTACCTGGCCGCTGAGCGGGCTGGTAAGACCAAACTTCCCGAGATCCCGCGAAGGACTCAAGTTGTTTGGCTCCTCAGAGGCAGTTATGACTTCTTCAGCGCTGTGGTCAATCTGAAGACCAAGGAAGTCGAGCAACTGAAGCAATTGGACAAAAATGGTTATCCCGGCGGAGATGTGGACGAGACTCGAGAGATGCGGCTGACGGTTCCCGAACATCCCGAGGTCAAAAAGGCGATAGAGAAGCTTGAGCTTCCCGAAGGTACAGAAGTTGTGTGCAACACTTGGTCGTACGGCCGGGAAGACGAGATACAACACGAGCGTAGGGTTCAGGTAGGGCATCTCCTGCGCATCGGAAAGCCCACCACTAATGACCATATACAGTGCTACATGTTCTGCAAAGACCCTAAACGCGCCACGAACGCATCTAATCATTATGACTTTCCTCTCCCGATTGCCCCGGTTTTTGAGAACAAGTCCAAGAAGCTGGTGGAAATCATCTACCTACCGACCGGAGCAGATGCGAAGGCTAACACGAACCCCAAGTTCGTCCCTCACAAGGCACAAGAATTTCATCACAGCCTGAGAGAGAAGCCGGCAAGGACGGACCTGAAACCGCTCATCGTGACCCAGCCAGAAGGGACATCCTTCACCGTCGACGGATATCTTATAAAATGGCAGAAGTGGCGCTTCCGGCTGTCTTTCAATTTCCGAGAGGGCATGGTGATCAACGACGTGACCTACGATGGGAGGGAGTTGTTCTACCGAGTCTCGCTGAGTGAAATGGTCGTTCCCTACGCTGATCCTCGTAGCCCTTACAATCGAAAGTCCGTCTTCGACCTGGGTGATGTCGGTGCCGGCAACTCGGCCAACAACCTACAGCTTGGGTGTGACTGTCTGGGAGTTATCAAATACTTTTCCTTTGTGGTGACCAACAGCAAAGGCGAGGCGGTGCCGAAACCAAACGCCGTGTGCATGCATGAGATCGATAACGGCATCGGCTACAAGCACACCAACAACAGAAGCGGCTTGGTTTCAATCACCCGCGCTCGGGTTCTCGTCCTGCAATCGATCCTGACGGTTGGCAACTACGACTACATTTTCGCCTTCCATTTTGACCAAGCAGCTGGTCTGCATTATGAGATCAAGGCGACGGGTATCGTGGCCACACAACCCATCGACCATGGCGTTACCGTGCCCTGGGGCACTGTCGTGAACCAGGGCGTCTTCGCTCCCCATCACCAGCATGGTATGGATTCCCGCCCCCTCTCTCCTCCCCGCTCATCTAACCTATGAAACAGTGTTTATTCTTCGAATTGATCCCAACCTCGACGGGTCAACCAACACCGTTGTGATGGAAGACTCAGAAGCGATGGCGCCGGATGACGAGTTGAATCCCTACGGTGTCGGCTACGTGGTGAAGAAGACCAAGATCACCGAAGCCGGCTCTGCCGATTTCGCACCGAACCGCGTGTACAAGATCATTAACCCGAACTCGATCAACCCTGTATCCGGCCAACCTGTGGCCTACGCTATCGCCAGCCCCATGAGGCAGATGCTGCTCGCACAACCAGACTCGCAGCACGGCAAGCGAGCAAGGTTTGCCACCCACCCGTACTGGGTCACCCGGTATCGGGACGGCGAGCTTTTTGCTGGTGGAAACTATACGTACCAGAGCATCGCGCTCCCCGTGGACAAGGCCACCGAGGACGGCAGCGGCGACGTGGCTGCCTGGGCAAACAGGAAGGACAACGTGGACAATGAAGACATTGTGTTGTGGCACTGCATCTCGCTGACGCACAATGTCCGCGTCGAGGATTACCCGATCATGCCCTGCGAGACGATCCAGGTCTCTCTCAAGCCCTCTGGCTTCTTCCAAGAGAACCCGCTCATGGACGTGCCACAGAGCAGTCAGCTCTTCAGCAAAAGCGTCCTCTACGAAGACCAGCTAATAAGGCAGACCAATGGTGAATCTACAACTAATGGACAAGGGTCTTGTTGTTCCAATGGCCATTAGGGGGAACATGCGACTTAAATTGAAATTACTGGTCCTGAGCATATATCAGGAGTTAGATTCAAACATTGTCATCATTTGTAACTTCTTTGCGGTGGTTCTTCTTAGTTTCTGTCTTTCCTTCCCTTCCCCTGGTAGGGATCTCGCCAGCACGTTGACACACGGTAGATCAGCCACGTTCCGACCACAGCCGTTGAAGAATGTCGCGGCGGCAGTGGTAGGCCTTTGATCTCGACTGGTCAAAAATGCGGACCACGGGCGATACCAAACGCACATGTGTGCACAGAATGCCACGTGGACCTTTGCTCTCTTGCGTAATTGCCAGGACTCAATATCTTGACTCGGTTATGCAGTCAGCAATCGAATACCAACTCCTAGCCGATAAGGACTCGGACAATGAGTCGAAGGTATTGAGTCCTAGAAACGGCTGGTATCTCGTCAACATGCTTCGCAATTTTTGTTGAAAACAGAAGAGAACCTCGGATCCGTCTGATAGACGCGAGACATTTCATATCAGCGCCGAGAACCCCTCTATAGACTCTATCGTGGTTCAGTGGGCCTCGCGTCAACGGATCTCGGGACCGAAGAACCACCCCTGCGATACTGTACTGGGGGCCGAGTACTCGGGTGTAAATAAGGCGTGATAGGGTCCCGGTCATTGACTATCGCCAGGTCTGCGTAGATTGTCTCGAGAGGATCCTATTCAAGCCCGAACGGTGTCTATTCGACCTCCGGGTCGGCGTGTGGAGGTGCTTTCGGGCGCCCTTTTGTTGGAGAATTCGTCTGTGCATTCCCGAGACCATCCATTGGCCTTTGGATATGCTCTAAAATTCCTTCTTTCTGTCTTTTTTGTAAGGCGTTGTCCGATCGCGTCGAGCTTGAGTGAAGCGGCGTCCTTCGTGGGGTGAAGCTGAATAGTATTTCATTCTTTCTTGTTGCATCTCTGAGCTACGCTCACTTTCATACTGGTGTGACTCGACCAGCAGCAACAATGGCATTCAGCACGACAAGTACTCTTGTCCGACCTCCAACAGACGTGCCAGAGATGGCACCAACTGCCAAAATCTCCACGGCAGATCATCCTGTGGAGGGATATCTGGACAGCATAGTCATCGAGCCCCGACGACCAGACGACCTCGACACGGTCCTGACCATCAACGACCTTAGAGAACTTGCACAGAGGAAGGTGCCGAAGATGTATAGAGGTGAGCTTCCCCAATATGCTCTTGTGTAACGTCATGCTGGTTGGGATGGAAGCGTCCATCTCACCGGTTCTCTTCCCTGGGGGACGTGGCCGAGATATTTGATTCGTGCTGACTCGATTTCCTTTATGGCCAGACTATTTCAATGACGGAGCGGACGATATGATAACGTACGTACGCATCTGTTCCCTGAAGCAGATGTACTTCTTTACAGGCTTCCAGCCTAGACTGGATTACGCCAGTGGCGGACAGCATTTGCAAACACCAAATCTGTGGCCGGAGGGACAGCTTTGTTGACTACCTCTACTGCCGACCTCGGTCCATGTGTAAGAACGACGTGTGCTAATGATATGTGTGACTGTCGGACATAGTCTTCGTGATAATGAAGCGGCATACAACCGCTACAAGATTCGGCCACGAGTCTTAGTCGATGTGTCGGAACTGGATTCCAGCATTGAAATGTTTGGGAAGAAGGTAGACAAGAACATCGCATGGTGGTCACCACGAGCAGCATCACTGACAAAAGGCTCTCGATGTAGCTGCCAATACCCCTCGGTTTTGCTCCTGCTGCCGCACACAAGCTCGCACACCCCGACGGTGAACTCGCAACGTCACGAGCGGCAGCCAAAGCCGGAATCCCTATGGGTCTATCATCTTACTCGACAACTTCGATTGAGGATGTCGCGCGCGAAGGGGGTGGGAATCCCTATCTCATGCATCTCACCATCATGAAAGATCGGAGTCGGACAGTGCAAACGCTCCGCAGGATTGAAAGTGAGTCTCCATTCTGTCCCCCATTCATGTGTCGTGAGACGGTTCCACCAGTCTTCCCTCTCCTCGCCTCCGTGCAGCGATAAAAACATCAGCTGACTGGGTGGACTGTGCTTCCTCCTGATCAGAGGCTGGCTTTAGGGGCATCTTTCTCACCGTCGACACGGCCGTCCTGGGGCGACGTTTGAACGAATACCGCAACAACTTCCAGATGCCGCCTGGTGTGAGCTTCCCAAATATGAAATTCGAAGCAAGCGACGCGGAAAAAGAAGGAACCGTGAACAAGGGTGCCAGAGGGTTCAAGTCGGTTGTGAAGACGGAGAAAGACACCAAACAGGACTGGGAAACGGTCATTCCATGGTTGAAATCACAGACCAAACTTCAGATCTGGGCCAAGGGCATCTACACCCCAGAAGATGTCCGGATGGCCATCAAGTACGGCCTGGACGGAGTGGTCATCTCCAACCATGGCGGCCGTCAGCTAGATGGGGTCCCCGCCAGTCTGGATGCGTTAAGAGATTGCGCGCCCGCAGCCCTTGACCCTAACGGCAAGAGATTGATCCAGATCGCTCTCGATGGGGGTATCAGGAAAGGCACCGACATCTTCAAGGCTATCGCGCTGGGTGCTCAAATGGTCTTCATTGGCCGGATTCCAATCTGGGGTCTCTCGGTGAGTTTGTGCTCTTTTTTGACTTTTCCTTCGTGACATTACCCTGTGCGTCCGCCATGTTTGCTCGCCTCAATGCTGGACTCTGCTTTCATCGTCTTCGACCGATTTCTGACGGGCGTGCGTTCTTCTAGGCTGGCGGCGAAGAAGGCGTCACAAAAGCTGTGGAGATCCTCGCACAAGAATTCCGCCAGACCATGGCACTAGCTGGGTACGTTTTCTTCCCTCGAAACTTATCACCATGCAAGGGGTCCTCTGACAGGCGCATATAGATGCCGCACGGTTACGGACATAACGCCGAATCGACTGGCTATTCTGAGTAAAGGACGCCTTCTCAAGCTGTGAGGTTCTGTCTGGATGGTCAATTCCTGTAGCTCCGCTTCAAGGTGTCTGGGTTAATAGAGGAAAGCATCAGCATCAGCGATCAGGGGACCATGTGTTGAGTTCAGAGCATACATTTCGTGATCATGAATCTGCCACTACTTGTTTGCCCTCGCTGTTATCAAGTATCCCATGCTGTGGCTTCACCAGTGCACGGGATCAAGCGATTCTATTAGGTCGTTATCAGCGCCAGCGCCGTTGCCATTCATTCTTCTCTTCATATCACTGGCCTAATCATCCTTGACTTTCGGGATGTGGATCTGCAACAAATGGAGAGGATCAATAACAGCGCAGACCCTTGCCAAGAGATGCCAAGCTTAAGCCACCTTCGCCGCAATCTTCCTGGTCAATATCAAATCTCAATCAACCCGGGCCCACCTGGGCCTGCGATCAGGACCCAACCGAACATGTTCCTCCGCTCGACCCTCCCGATCTATATCTGCCCTTATCTGAGGCCATTGCAATTCTAGCGCTTCGCCTCGGCTGCCTATTTTCTGTTGAGATGCCAACATGGTTCTCTCTATCGTACCCCGGATGTCTCCCCCGACTTTATGTACCTGCAGGGATGAGAGATGGGGGATGATCAGGCTATCCTACTAAGAAGGCTGGACAACAACGGACATGAAGTATCAGCAGACAGTATGGTAGCCACGTCTGTCAACTGATCGTGGCACCAAGAACATCATCCGATCCGATGGCCTGCGATACCTGCCACCGCCGCAAGGTCCGATGCAATTACAAGGAACAAGTGCCCTGTGCTCCGTGCGAGAAGGCCAGTATTTCTTGCAGGTAAGCACACATGGTGAGACGATTATTATCCGTCAAGATGATAGCTTACTTGATGCCTGCGTGAATCAGCTTTCATTTGAGCGAGAATTTTAGAAGAGTACGGCGTCATCCTCGTTCCCGACCTCCCTCCCACAGCCAGGCCCCTTCATCAGGCCCCGACCCGACTGGAAGGGAGCATGAGCAAAGCTTTCCGCCAACACATCATGGTCGGTCAGAAGAACGCGGCGAGTCCGAGCTGGTTAGCCAGGCGGGGTCAATGACCTCGCCGTCGACCAGCGACATCATACGCTCCGTGGAAGACGGCCATCTCTCACGCTCAGCCTTACCCACCTTTTATCGCACCGAAATCAATAATACCCTTCCCGCTACTCCACAAAGCCGTTGGGCATATGTCGGTACAACGGTCTCAAATCTGGCTCACTTAGTCAACGCCCGAACAACGCGCCCGGACTGCCTCCATTACCCCTTTCCGCACTATCGATCGACGCTTCCGTGGAAGCCCTCCGCTTCGTCCTCTACCGCACGTGCTATACCAGTGATTCAACCACAGGAAAGCTCCAGCGCACATGAACCACCACACTGGACATTCACGACTCTGCCAGACCCAGACCTTGGCATATTACCTGTCAGCGAGATTCGAGTCGAGCTGATAGACGCATATTTCAAATATATTCACCCAGGATATCCTGTGGTTCAGGAAGCAGACTTTCGCCGGCGTCTGAAAGCCAGCACGGGCAAAGGGGGTGGCACCGACGGCGGCACAGCTCTTACTCAAGAGCCCCCGGCTCTGTTGTTGATACAATGTGTCCTGCTTGCAGGTGCGCATGTCTCCACTCATCCCACCGTCCAAAACGCTCGGTCGTCCATCAAAGAAGCTCTGTATCGCCGTGTGCGCACATTATTCGACATGCGTTACGAGAATGACCGCTTGCTTTTGCTCCAGGCTGCGTTGATCTTGACGTGGCATGTCGACTCGGGGGACGACGTCTCGGCCAACGCGTGGTATTGGTCAGGAATTGCGAGCCGCATCGCGCTCGGCTTAGGCTTGCACCGCCGCTTTGCATCGATGACTATGCGTCGTCGCGGCCAGAGACGTATGCGGACGATGTGGTGGATGGTGGTGCAGACCGAGATTTTGTGTGCCCTGAACCATGGCCGGCCGGTGAGCTTCGACTTGGACGACTGTGATCAAACTCTGCTCACAGAAGACGATCTACATGAGGAAGAGGTCGACCCCGATACGGGTGCTCTAAGAGCTGTCTGCACTGCAAACGTTGACTTTTGCCTGGCTAACACCTCGTTGTGCGTCCTAATCTGGGAAATGTTGAAGCTCCACTCCCCTGGAGTGAAGAGAAGACTCGGTGGGGAGGGTTCAATGGGCATGAGAGCAGCGAAGATGAACCTGAACGCTCGATTGGCCGCTTGGTGCATGCAGTTGCCACCGAGCATGGGTCAGCCGGGAATGCCAGCTCAGGACACTTTTGCTGCTCAACTGCATCTACACTACTACATGGCGATCATTGCATTGAATCGAAGGACCAAGACTGAGCCAATGGGACTGGATCCAGGTTATGGCCTCACCTCGGACTCTCCCGGCGTTGCCTGGGCTCAGCAGGCCTCCGGCCCATGTGAAGGTGCTGCTCAGGCGAGCACCCAGATGCCCAGAGACGATATCGAGTCACAGCAATGCTCTTCTCTCTGCCACACCTCTGCAGTTAGCATCGTCTCTATTTTGACCCACATGGTCGATATGGGATGGATCAAGAGCTGTTGGCTTAGTACCATGACATCGATCCTAGCCGCGGCGGTCCATTTCAGCTACGAAATTCGGTCGGCGACTCTAGGGGAACGAGGCGCCAACGGAGAAACAAACACGGATCCTGCTTTGAGTGTGACACGCCACAGCCTGTCTCCGTTTCCGTCAACGCAGAGGTCGCCTTTTAGTCTCTTGGTCGCCCTAGGGTCTCTGGATAGGCTGCAAATGCTGGTTACTATCTCGACCACGCTCATCCCCTACTGGTCATCTGCTGAAGGGCTGAGCCAGCTGCTCGAAACAATCTCGGCGGAATTAAAAGGGATGATCACGTTTGTAACCGGGCGCAAGGACAGGAAAGACACCAGCGCAGCCGACCGAAACACAGCAAAGAGAACCAGTGACGCTGTGGTCGAACAAAACGGCAACCCTTCCTTCACAGTATCTGCCGGCACCCATCAGACACCAGATCCCAAAGGTCAGGTGCACCACAGGCAATCGAATGCTCCACTCAGTCAACAAGCAGATGTCCCGGAACAGTCACACAAATCACAGCGAACATCCTACATGTCCACTCCCGGGACCGCGACAAGAAACGACGAAGAGAGTCTTGATTCTGACGCACTTAGACGCCACTCCACGTATGCTACCGCTCGACAAGGCGATTCAGATTACGCTGACTCAAGTGTGTATACTCACATTAGTCGCAAAAACACTGCCGGCACGAGAGAGACAGCCTCATTTGACCAGGCACCCGATATCTGGGAGCCACTTCCTGGAAACAGGACAACTCAACCGCAGGCTTCCAATCCCGGGGCGGCTCTGACTTTTGACGACGACGCCCGCGACCCGCCATATTCTACGTCGGACACCCTACACGGAGACAGCAGCCGTGGAGCCAACAATGTCGGCTCAAGAAACACGATTCCATTTCCCCCTCATTCAGCACAGTCTTCCGCTTTTTCCTCCGCACCCGTGGGCGCCGAAACTCGCGGTCGATCGGTTGACTACTCCTCCGGGCACCCGGCTCAGAGCTTTCCCACGTCGGGATACTCTGGGTATAACGTCGCTCAGGCGATGCAGCCGCCGTCACGACAGGTAGATACCGTGGCAGCGAGCGCCGCGGGGGGGAATTGGGAGCTTCAAATTGACGATCTGCTGAGATACATGACCGACCCGGGCGCCATGACTGACGCTGCGTCTGCCCATGCCTACAACGCAGCCAACATGCGGGAAAGGCATGGAGACGCGAACATGGGCGAATACATGGGTCCTTATCAATAGGGCATCTGGTGTTCGGAGGTGAAGAAGGTCCGGGCGGTCCAGCACGGTGACGGCAGCCATATCCCTTATGGTCCACCCATTGTAGTATAGTCAATCCATCTATCCTCGAGCAGAGGCTACCTACGACTTATCACCATGTTAGGCTTGCTCAAACGCGGCAGATCCACCCAGAGGTCGAGGTCGGACTCGGGGTAGAGAATAGCCGAAGCGCGAAGGGAAGTAGGAATCAGACCAGGAGCAGGGATTTCGTTCGTGACACCGCTGCATAAGCCTTCATTCTGGGGCGGGCGGGAATATGGTTCATCGATGAAAGACTCGCCCTGTTTGGGGGAGCTGTCGCTCTCTTGTGAAGCGTGATTTCCGATGGCGACGTTCTCGCGCCTCACTTTCTTCAGACTCTCATTGCGCTTGCTAAGATGTTGCTCCTTGTAGTCGATCATGCGCGTTTTGGCTCATGGCATTCTTCTGGTAAATTTTCTGATACTTGGCCGCGAGCTGCTCCTCCTGCGTCCTGATGCGCGAGTCTTTGTCAGTAACATCGCTTTCGAAGCCTCAGAGCTCGACTTGGATGAACCCAAGCACTTCATGGTTCTCCTTGACGGTGGCTTGAAGATTCTCGAGCTTCATCTAAAACTGGATTGTGGCCGAATGCTCTGGAAGGCATTAGCCTGTTTCTTTAGTCCAGCGTCATGATCTTTGCGAAGACGGTCGAGCTACTTGTTAGGTTGCAATACGAGGTCGTGGTTGGCCGTGCGCTGTTATTTGGACTTTGTCTCGAATCCCTGACGAAGATTCCTGAGCTTCTGCTTCTGCTCCTGCTCCTGCTCCTGCTGCTTACTCGGTGCTGGAATTTCAGACTGGGATTCCACACGTTTCGTATTCCTAAAGGCGCCGATCGAGCTGCTGCTTGTGTTCTTCCTCCACTTTTCCATGTAGCTCGGGGCTCTGGTAGACCTCACTGTGCCTCCGAAGTTCCAAATCGTGTTCCTATTCAAATCTGCAATCTCCCATGGCTCTCGGTCAAGTGAGTCGCTTGATCGTGGATGTGGTGCCGTAACGCTTGATTTCCCGACTGTGTATGCTTCAACATTTCAAGGCCTTACTGCACGTTGACGCTCACGATCCTGACATTATCTTCGAGAGGTTTGTCCTTCCTTTTGATCCCCTCTGGCTCGAGTCTCGTCGGGTCGAGTTCGATTTCTAGTGTCTTAACTGGCGCTGTATGTGATTGAGCAGGTTCCAGGACGGAGTGGTGAGAGCGAAGTGAGGGAGGTGACTGCGAAGGTGAGAGGGAGGGTGGGATGGTAGAAAAGCGGCGCGCTCGGGGCGAGTTGCACAGTTGCACTTTAGCCTTCAGCTCAGCCCGTGGAGTTGAAGACTTCACCGAGAGCCACGATAGGTACCGCCGCTCTGTCTCCAAACCTCTGCCCGATTGCTGTCTGAGATCGCACGAGAACCCCCATTGCCACGGGTGAAAGTCAACCTCTGCGCTTGCTCAGTAAGACCTCCTTTTCTCCCACGAGAACAACGCTCATTACCTTTCTTCAACTGGGGAAAGACCTGCAAATGTCATGTGAAGTTTGATGTGAAACAACGACACTTTCGACGCACTATCGGTGTGCTTCTCGGCCTATTCGTCGCAGAAGATGAGTTCAGGGACGGAAAAGGGGAAGATATCACAAGCTGGAAATTTCCCAATACATTTCTGATATGGAACCAATACTTCTGGCTGTTGAACTGGCCTGGGTCCCTCGAGCTTATTGGCATTCACATATCCCAACGGCTGAGGACCAGTCCTGGACATATGGACGGAATCCATCGTTGCTGCTCCTTGGGTCGCGCTATGTTCACCTACCAGAGTCTGCACTTGAGTCTCAATATCCCAACTCTGAGAGCAGGTCAAGTTGAAATACGGCGACAACCATCTATACACAAAGGGTGATGAATCGGCGATTTTGACTGCGTCACTTGTCAATGTGCAGACAACCTGGAAAAACCTGCTCCCCATTTCATGAGATCAGCTCAGACCGTGCTAGCAACTTTCGCGGCTTGGGCGTAAGAGATCAGAGAAGATCTCACGCCATGTCGAGAGATCTATGGACTTTCCAAGATCATGTGGCACACGGAACGCAATATCGAGGCAGACCACACTTCATGAGAACCCTTGATCAAGACCCAGCGTAAGCCACCTGCAGGTACGTGTCCAGCGTCTCCGCCACCTGCTGACAGTTGCTGCGCACAGGGACACCCCCTTCACGCACACTACGTGTTTCCGAAGTTGAGCACCGACTTTGCGACTGAGCGAGTCTTCAGGGATAACAGGGGATCTCGGACTCGGAGCCTATCTGAGTAGTGCGTCATTGATGATTGGTGGTATCCATTCGGCTTTATCACACTGGCAAAGTGTCTCTGGAAAGCATGGTAATGAAGGGAGACTCCTCTCTGTTCACCCGCACCCTCATGAGCGAGTTAAGGGCGCTCGATCTATTATGGGAGTTCAGGAGACAACCTTCGACATCACCACCATGGTGTCTCCTCGTGGCTGCGCGCAGGTGAAACTGTGATCAGCAGGAGAGGGACTTGGTATTCGGGACAACAATCCGACAATGGGGGTATCGATGTTTCAGGCAGGACACCTTTGCGCCAGAAACCGAAAAAAAGACATACTTCGTACACTTTGTTTGTGCTTGAGCTTCGCCCACATAAGGTATTGGTTACTGTGCATACCTCAGGAGTTGGCCAGCAACACGACTTGACGACACCCATCCACGCAATCATGAGGAATTTTTGGCGCAGATGTTGTCATCACCCTGGCATGGCAAGAAGGGAGATCTGAACGCAGAGCCTAGACCTGTCCAGGTCAAGCCACGGGCAAAATCTGGATACCCATTGGGGGTTTGAAGCTTCTGGTGGATCGCGCCCTGCCCAGCTGCGCCCCCAAGAGACCCTCAAGCGCCCCGATTACCCACATATGTGCCAAAAACAGTGTCAACGTCACGCAAGCGACCCTCAGCATCCCCCAGCCAGCACCCGAAATGGACAACAACTACTTTCTTACCAGGCAAGGGAGAAAACGTTCAGCGGACTCAGCAGGCTGGCTGGAGGGATCCAACAATCACGAGAGAAACTTCCCACAACAAGGGGTTGGATTGCGGAGCTCTGAATGCCTGGAACAATGCACCTTGGGCGTCGAGGGACGGAGTTGCTAACTGCTATTGTCGACCCATGTGCATTGTTCCAGGCGCTCAGCCTCTGGTCTGGATGAACTCAATGGGCATGGGAGACTCACCGCCCTCCGCGGTCACCGAATCGACCTGTGGCCTCGGATAGGGGAGAATAAGGACAGCTAGCGACCCGCCGAAAGCCTCCTCCTGGCCATGTGAAGGAACAATAACCCAAAAGCGCTTTGAGGCTTTCGTGGACCGCCGTCAGCCAGAATCCTAGACTCGAGGGAGCGGGCCATCAGCCTCAGATCACGAAATCCCCTTCCAAGACAACGCCATACCTCCTCCTGCGTACTACTCACTTGATGGCCAAAACAAACATATAATAGACACGTGGACCACCTCTCTCTCTCTCTGGGCATCGATATCTCTGTTACTTGGCTCGATCATCATTACATCAACGAATCCCAGCCACCAGCATTCTCTGCCCCCAACACCCACTCAACTGACCCCCCCTTGGCGAAGCTCGAAGCCGCGTATCCCTCGGAAAACAGGCCCATCATCCGATCCCGCAAGTCATTCCACTGGTGACTGGCTCTCTTGGTTCTTGGGAACCACCCCCCGCATTGCTACCCAGTTTTTTGGTCACAGCTGATGCAAGCAACGACGTCGACATCTCTCACCCCACTTGTTCAAACCACCCCCCAACCTCAAGGGCTGGCCATGTCAATGGCAGCATATCTGCTTGGCTTTGTCTTGTATGTATTTCTCTCTCTCTCTCTTGTCTGCATATTTTCTCTTTGAATCAATATCCTTTGTACAACTACTCGTCGGCGACCATGATCAAGAAGCTAATGCGATTGCTCTTCAGCACTGGATTCTCGTTTGAGAATCACCGAGATGACGATTTCTTCAACGAACCCTCGACTATGCGGCCTCGATTGACTGCTGCAGCCGCCAAAGAGGATGGTTCCACAGAGCTACTTACGCCGCTGTCCTCATCCTCGACATACCAGGTGGTAGCCAAAGGACTTCCTGGCGCGACAATCCATTATGCAGCACCAAGTGCTTGAAGGTGCCGGGGCTTGATTCATTCTACTTCACAGCATCATTACGACATCCTTATGAACATGAGCAAGCGTCATATTCATCCCTTTGTGCTTGAGCATGCAATGCGATACCATGTACAGCCGAGGCAACCACAGACTGGGCCCTTTTGGGGTCCATGCTTTGCGCCTGTGCGACAGTGGCGAAAAGCTTCCGCCGAGCATGATCACAACATTGTTGGAGTTTTGAGTGCAGCCTGTGGACCTGCATTACGCTACGTGCATACGGACGATCAAGTATTATGAGCATTCACCTTTCGCAACCTCCCAACCCCGCCTTTTACAACGCTACGACGGCAACACAAGGTCATGCGTATCCTATCCTTTTGGTCTTTCGCGCGGGCGTGCATGAACCGCGCCACGCTGAACGCCACTTGTCTCACTTGGAGAGTCGGTATTTGCGCACATTTCCGCCGGAACCACCAAAGAATATCTCTAGATCAGATACCTAGCGGAAGAGTGTTTTCCACACTCTACTTACCACACGGGCCTTTTTTCTCGAGCACACACGCATATCCACACAAACCCACGAATTTCCTTTTTTTCCCCCTCCCCCTCTGGCGCAACTACGACGCAAAAATGTCAAGAAAGCTTGCTGGCTTGACAAAGGGGGCAACGACCACTTTATGATTTGCATATAACTGTTATCCACGACGATATGATACCACACACGATACGAGGCTGGCATGGAGATGGGAATGGAGGTGGAGATGGAGATGGGCGGATTGCTTTTTTTTTGGCTGCGAATTGTTACCGTCTGAAATTGCCGGATCGATCACTCAGCTGTGTTTTACAGATAGTCTCAGCATCGGTTTTGAGATGTAGAGAAAGAGCGAGGGCAACTTGGGCAAGTAGTCAGTCTCTGCGGCTCGGTTCAATCTACTACTCCTAGAGGAAAGGAAATACCATCAATACCTACCTAGTCGATAGTCTATAGTCCATGATGCCAATAGCATTGATGTCAATTTTAGTCTCCTTTTTCTTTTTCGTTTTATATTGTTGTCCTCATTTACATACCATAGATATTATAGCATCAAACTGCCAACAGGCTGGTCTATGTGTGGTATGTCCGACTGACAGCATGGCTATTTTTTAGCTGATGGCGTGAGTGCTTCTTTTGCTGCTCCTGCTGCTGTTGCCATTGAGACCATTGATGATCATGAATATGGTAGACTCTCTTCCTCCTCTTTGATCATGCTGGGTGTTTGTCCCACTCCTGTCCGCGTCTCATGCGACTCGTACGACTTCTGTAGCTTTCCCTCATACCTTAACCCTTATCCTTATCCTTGCACATTTCTGTCCCGATGCCCAATGCCGTCCTCATGTCTTAAGACTCGATCTCGACTCGACGCCCCATCTTGATCGTCCACATCACGTCTAATCCTGCCAGTGGGTGGGTCTATATACTATATTATCGACACGTTTAATGTTATGTACAGTGGCGGCTGTACAGGGGCACAAGTGGCACGTGCACGAGAGAGGCCGAGCCCGAGCAGGAGCATATGACTCGCTCGAGGGAACCCCCGATTGAGTTCATCTTTCCCCCTTCCCTGCCCATGGGATGCTTGGAGTACCGTATTAGCGCAGCAGCGGTGATCTTTTCTTTCTTTTCTTTTCTTTTCCTTTCTTAATTTGACAACTCTTGCTCCCTACCTCGTGCGAAAATCACAAAATCGGCCCAGTGTGGCTGGCTGGAATTCACCATGCTTTTTCGTCGTTTCGTCTCGATTCTTTGTGGTCAAAGGATAGGGGAGCAAGAGCTCGAGCTCGCTCGGTGTGTAGCAGTCGACCATTGTCACCAAAGCATGAGATGCAAAAGGTGGGAAGAAGAAAAAGGTATGGACTGACTGACCGCATCGAGAGAGCGGCTTTCACAGCTCCGTATATTCATACGGATTTGACTTCGTGTCAAATTCGGGCGGAGATACCCCAGGAGGCGTTTGTCGAGTGAGTGCAGTGGGCAGTGGCCGAGCATCCTGCGAATCGTCTGTGACTTGTCTCGCGCCTCGGCCTGTGGGTGTTCCTTTGATCAAGCTTCGATTTTTAGACGGCTGCATCCATAGCACGGCACGTCTGTTCAACTCATCTACGCCTAGCACTGACACGGACAGGTCGAACCCACTGACCATTCCGAGCAGAAGAGTGACACGAATGTCCAGATCTCCTAAGAGTTGATATTACACGCCAAGATGCGGCGCCGAAATCAGGCACTGGACTTCCACATAGCGGCCAGGAAGAACCCAGTCCTCATCCATTTCCAAATGATGATGGTGATATCGCACCGTGCAAAACCAGAGTCCCACACCTCAAAAACTATCGAGGGAGCACGACATGGGAATTTCATCGCACAGGCTCCCCCCTAACAAGGAGTATCTTCCCGGACATGCAGCTTACCATCGACAAAGTCAGGAGCTTTTGTATGTTGAAGAGGTCATACGTGCCCTGAAGTACACATGGCATGAGATAGTCAGAAAGAAGTCTGATGGCCAGATCTGCACAAGCTTGCCGTTTGAGCGCGCCACCTTGCTTCCTGTTGCGTCGTCAACGAAGCCATAAAGTGGTATGGGGGACGAAAACATTGAAGGGATGCCGATCCCCCAGAAGGAACGGGCGGTTTCAAATGTAAGCGTTCGATATCGAGATCATTTAAGTAGGGCGAAAGTTGACTCTATTTGCTGTGATTGTCCCGGAACTGATGTCGGTTGACATATCCGGGTCTCCCAGGACCACGTCTAGAAGGATAACGTTGCGGATAGAACTGCGACTTGGGCGATACACACAACCTCCCAGTAGTGATGCTGTAGTTCCTCTCACTCATACATCGCACATCAAGTTGCCAAAACGACACTGGTCGGCTTGCAAAGCTCCATCGGGAAATAGCAGAATGGCCCAACTGGTCCGTTCTCCTCATGGTCGCATTGTGTCCACAACCCAAACACACCTCCGGATTTCACACCTCCTGGCTGGACGCCTTCCAACTGCCACTGGTCTTGGCCGCCATAATTGATGATGTATCTCCATCTTACCTCTCGTCCGCCTGGGACAAGGCTTGCGCAACCTCTTACCCCGATGACCGGCCGGTGCATGCCAGCATGGCCACGTGAAAGGCCAGAAAAGTATAACACGGGTAGGTCAGTACACACGGGAAGGGACGTCATCAGACGCGAATCAGAGGCAACTGTATCATCGAGCTTGAGTTCGAGCTTCATCAGATCGCCACAGTCTTCGGGCTCGTCGTCCAGGGTTGGTCGACCGGGATGATCACTAGTCCAGGCGTTGAACGTGACAAGATCAGAGTAGTCGAGCCAAGAGTACGTCCCTAACCATGCCCCAGTGACGCGCGCCCAGTCATTGGGGATCGTGGGATCGGGCAATGTGCGGTGAGGGAGAGAAAAGCAGAAACCTTGGGGCATCGCGATGCGGCCTTCGACGCACATGGAAAAATTGCGGCTGATGACGCTGAAGACAGCCTCGAGCAAAGCCCAGTCGACCTTCCCACTGCCGTCCCTGTAAAAGGGACCATAATCATTGTCCGGCCCACTCAAGCTCCAATTGTACACTTTCCGCCTCGCTGCACCTCTAGCCCTGTGCTCGATGCGCTCGCGAGTGGTGAGACCATAAGATACATGGAGTCTGCAGGCGGACTCTGGTCGATTCTTGTCATTCTCGCTTGCGGTCATGCTTCTGGTGAAACGCAGTGTCGTGCCCAATGAGCGCTCATCGGATCTGGCGCCTTGAGGCATCCTCCGCGTCCCTACATCGTGGATGAGACTCTCGATGCCGTCGCGACAGGGAGTCAGACCGGAGAGGATTTGAAGATTCAACGAGGTTGTCCGGTCGTCCTCCTTGGGAATTTGGCCGTTAGCAATATCACGAGGATTGGGTGCAAATTTGGCCGTGTCGAGGATGTCGAGCAGCGCATTAAGATAGGTTTCAGCACGACTGTCAAGACCACACCATTTGGACTGGACACTTCGTAAAGCCATCAGCCTAGTAGAGAGTTCGCGATGCCAATCCCAATCGCGCTCTGCTGCCAATGGCGTTGGATTGGGCATCATGGACCAAGCATCATTGGGATCGTCAAACACATGCAAAAAGGCCGATCTCCAGAGAAGCTGGTTTTGGGGACGAACAAAGTCATGCGCAGCCTTGCAAGTTCGGCCAAAGCTGGCGATGACCGCAGGGGGCAGATATGAGAGGATGTGTGCGAGGATTTCCCTGGGCAAACCTAGAACCTCCATGGCCAGGTTGGGACGAGAGCTGATGAGATTGAAGTGCAACGACAACCAAGGCGAGGAATGGAAAAGGAAGCGATGCGAGGATGGTGGAGGAATGTGGTGAAGGTTAGGTTCCTCGATCGCCAGTAATAGTATTCAAGGTCGCCAATCTCTCTTCAGCAGGCTGCGCATCCTATTGCCCCTCACTTGACTGCTTTAAGCCACCTGTTTCATCCCTGCTATGGGACCCCAAGCCCTGTGTGTTGGGTGGCACAAATAATGGTGTAACGGAAATGAGGTATGGAAGCGTAGGAGCGTAGCCTCTTGCGTAGCCAAGGAATCAAAATGCATAGAGAAGAGATGGAATGATCATGTACAAGGCACAAAATCTGCATCTATGAGTGCTTGAATGCTGCTGTAGGCACCGAGGATGTACACAGTACGAGGGACTCGATATCTGTCGAGCCACCCAGAGTTGCTCGTTTAGGCCCCCGTGCACCGCCCATCGTCAAGACACGCCGTCAAATCTCCCCTTCCAAGACACCAACCATCGCTGCCAATCTCAATCTCACCCTCTCACCACAGACCCCAGTTCGCCAGTAACCGCTCGCACAGCCGCAACACAGTCGCTTGCAAGTCGATTCCCTCGTTTCCTCATGTCGAAGTCCTGCACACATATTAAGAGGTACTGTCAATATCGCAGCAGATCCTGACCACTTTTTCTCTTCCTCGAAGCCCACCAAACCACCC